CTGTTAGCCTACTGTCTGTCTACACGGTGCACACCATGCTCTGAGAAGGTGGCATCATCTGGTGGTGCCATCTTCTTGTTTCGGTAGCTTAGCGAGTTCTAGGAATATTATTGAACAGTGTAATTTTTTGACAGAAAATGATTTATTTAATAACTGTTAGTAATATAAACTGAGATTATTGTTATCTTATATCAGTGATCTATTGTCTCAGTTGACCAGTGTTGACAGTTAACAGTTTGATTATATAGAGACATTTCTTTTGGGTTAGTTAATTAGTTAGTTATTATTTAAAAAAAACATTTAAAAGTGGTTATTTCAATTCTGGGTCCAAAACAGGTTAAAAATAGGTTAATTGTAATCGTTAAGAGCTGGTTACTGTTAATTCAAATCATCTAAAATATATCTTTTTCATTATTACCCTTTATTAGAAGGATAGATTATTAATTATAATATATTACATGAATAAATAACATTAATAATCAAATAAGAATAATTGCACATTATTGTTGACTTGGTTTCTCATTACTTATAAGCCATAATCATCAAGTAAAAAAAAAATGAATTGCTTAATGAAAGTATTGACAAGAAATATTTAGCTTTTTTTGTGATAATTAATAATTCAAGAACGAAAAAATGAGGTCCAGCCAGATACCAGCTGTACTCATTAAATGTCTATAGAGTTAGTGTTGGATGCTGAACTCAAAGGACACAAGATAGATTTTAAACCATGGTTTCAGTCAACTGATTGTTTTATGGACACAGGGCTGTTTTAATAATCTAGAATGACTTGCATTCAATATAAAACAACATTGCTCTTGTAAGTTGCCAGTTTGGGAACTGCATCCGGTGGCTGAACACGGTGGATTGGGCAGCTGCATCCGCCTGGGATGGTTTAGCTGCTGACCAGCTGCTCCCCAAATGAAGTTTCATTGCCTTTCAGGATGTAGATGTTGTCATGTCAGTCTGATCTCTCACTCAGATCAAATCCGACCTTTAACGAAGGGTTGCATTAACTTAATTTAGGATGGCATCCATCTAAATTATGTAGTGTATGTTTACAATATTTGAGGAGGTAAGCGAACCTTCAAGAAAGCCTCACAATACAAAACTACATATCTATGAGACCTGATGAAAATACAGAATCAGTGGAGACTGTAGGAAAAAAAGGTGGATACATACAGATGGGTTTCACTTGAAACTTTATTTCCGGTTTTGAACTAGTTTTAGAAGGCAGTTATTAAATTAGTCCACAGATTGCCCTTTGCATGAATGGTGAGAGAATAAGAAACAAAAGGGTGTATTTTTTGTAAGGATAGACATCCTTTAGCAGGGCTGGTCTGCAGCCCAAAACCAGTTTCAACCTTCCCATTTCTGTCCTTCTTGGCAAGGACTGTAAATAGGTGGAAAGACAGAGTCTTACCCTGAAAGGATGGCAATTTAGAGGCCAAAATATGGAAAAGGACATTGTTAAGCATGAGTGCTTAAACAACCTCCCCAGAACAACATTTTATGTAGAATTAATCAGTTACAGTGGGTAAAAATTTGGCCCTTGTCTGAAGGAGGTACAAATTTTATTTCCTCAATATCAGTGGAGCATAAGAACAAATTGAGTCATCAATTTGGGTCTCTCAAAGGTAAAAAAACAGACTTTTCTACCATGGGAGATACTAATGATAGTTTCTATTAACAATAAACAATAAAATGTGCTTCAAAATAAAGCCAGATAAAAATAGGTGTATGATCTAAAACTAATTGTGATAAGCCAAATTTCTCAAATATATGTGACTTATTCTTATAAAATAAAGAAATAAAACATATGTTTACGTGAATGACCTTCTCCGTGTCTTAAATCCAGTTAAATAAGCAGAAATGTAAAACATCTTTACATTTTGTCTCAGCAAAACAATTTTGTTTTATCGAAACATGTCAGGTTACATAAAACAGTTTTCAATCCAGGTATGGAATTTAAATGAAACCTAGTTTTGTTCTTTATTTACGACTAATAATCTGAAAAACATGACATCCTTTTGAGAAATAATCCAGTAATACCAACTGTCTTCAGTGTGTATGACCCATGCCTGTGTGGGTAAAGCTGTTCTAGTTCCTATGTGGTGTACAGTAGCAGGGTCATTCCAGGTTTTGATGAAGAGAACCTGATTTTAAATCCAAGTTTCATCAGACATGGCGTCCGTAGTAAAACTCCTGTGTGACATTTATAATGACTTCCTGTGGCAAACCCTGAATAAGGGAAACACCAAATGGGAACACAAAGGTCAAGGTGTTGTGTTTATCTATCACATAAAAAAAACAATAAAAATATTAATATTTTAGCTGAAATATAAAAATAAAACGCCCCAATTAGAATGATTATATTTGCAAGGAATTGAAGATATAAACTGAAAAAAATCTGTTTATATGGCAAATTTGAAATGACATCATATTCTGTATCACCGTAGTGAAAAAGTGTAATAAAAATATTCCCCTTTAACATAAAACCATGAAGGTGTAAAAACTGGCAGTCATATAAATAATCATTCTTATTCTAAAGACCTCAACTCTATTTCCTTTCTTTGCTCTTAAAAAGAAAATCTTGAAGGGTTTTATCATTTAATGGAAGACAACCAAGAGACCGAGCATATCTTAAATTTGACAAATGTTACATCACATGTGACTTTATGAAAATAAAAAAAGATAAAGGGTTATAATGTATTCAATGCAAGTGCCAGATGAGTTGACAAAAAATTGTCCCCAAAAATAACAAAAAAGGTAAGGAAGTAGTTACTGGCCTGGATTGTAATTAGTTAACATTGTGAAGCATGACCAGTTAATGAAGCTAGGAGGTTTAAGTGATGGCAGATCCCTTTACTCCTGTTCAGGTAAATGGAGAACAGGAGCCTTCAGCTAGTGAATATTTCAGTCTATGGTCAGAGGAAACTTCAGAGAATAATGTGGGTGTAGTGTTGCATTCACTTTCTCTTCTTTCAACCTGCATAGGCAGACCTTTATACTGTATGTCTATAAGGTCTTAGTCAATAAAGTTTGTAGTATAAAAAAAACAAACTTTTGATTGGAATCACATCAGAGCAAGAAAACTTCAATATTTCAAGTGGGAAATAAAGCCTTTTCTTCCCAGAAAAAAATATAAAATATAAATAATCCTGTAGTACAGAATGAATTAAAGCTAGATTCAAATCAGAAGATATTTTTATATGCATATTTTTGCAAAGAAGTATTAACATATTTACAACTTTAAAGGGTATGTTGAGAACACCCCCCCAACATGTTTGGAGGGGTAACAGGTTTTAAGTACATGCAAAATCAGTGGCTGGTCATTTCATTACTTCACAATTTCATACTTTGATTTGCAGATTTGTTTTTTCTTAAAGAACAGTAAAAGAAAAAAAAGGAAAAAAATTTTCCTCCACTTTTGAGATGTTTTATGACCTACGATGAAAAGATTTCTTCTGCAATTTGCTTAATGGAAATTTATATTAATTTGAATATCTGCAAAGTTAAGTCAGTTATTTTAATTTGATTCTTATCCACAATCAATGAAAGCAACGTGTTCTAAGGATGATGTTTGAGCTTTTCTATGATTGTTTATCCACATAATGCAATGAGGTCATCAGTGTAAGGGTAATGAGATCTTGTGGCACAAGATCTCCTAGTATTAAATCTCCATTATAAGCTGTTCATTTTGCAAAGGAAGTGCAATTATAGTATCAACTATATAACAACTGAATAAATTAAATGTGACATTATGTTTGACAGTTTTTCTAGAACAGGGGTCTACTAAATAAAAATAAAAACTTTTTAAACCATATATTAATCCTTTCCAATTCACTGAAGGTCAATTCACTCTGTGTAGTTGATAGCATGGATTAAATAATTTTTTTTTTTTTTTCAATTCGGTAAAAAATACATGCATCTCCTTTAGTGAAATTAAAAGAATGGATTTAACAAACCCTCCATAAATCCAAGCTTTAACTTCCAAAATAGCCAACAATATAGGAGAAGATGGGTGGATGGAAGGACGAATGGGTGGATGGATGGACAAATGGCCAGATGGATAGATGGGTGGGTAGCACTTTTTCACAAAAAAATAAATATTTTTTTCTATGGGATGTTTGTATTCATGGAAAAAGGTGTAGTGAAAGATATTGTTTCCAACCTAACGAAATGAGAAATAGGTCACTGAAAAATAGGGAAGGGCACCAATTGATCGATTGGCAGCTATTTTGGCCTTGATTTCCTTAATTTTGGGAGATCGCTGGTCAGTGGAAACATGGATATGAAAGAGTTGTCGTTGCTTTTTGTTTTAATTTGAGTGTTATATTTCGGGCAGTTCAGTACTTCTTGTTTCATTGATGTCAATTTTTTTAAGGCGCAATTGTTGCACCCACACTAACAAACAATACTGGTACCTTTAGGTTCATTGTCATGCACAAAGTCAAATCCATTTTCTAAATGGTAAAAAATGCTGAAAACCTTCAGTATTTCTTAAAACATGAACTGGTTCATGTTTTGGAATACTAAATTTATTTGTTCTTAAATTGTTCTGTTGTGTTCAGATTCAGGGGTATAAACACTGACTTTGGACACCAAGGATTTAGACAGACCGGTTTTGCGTCACAATTTATCAAATATTCTTTATAACAGTTTTGGATTTTAGTTTGGAAAGAATTGGATGATTTTGCATTCTTATTATTTGCAAACACTGCATTGAAATAAGATAAGCATGTAAACCCCAATTTATGGACTAGTTAACCTGGACAGCAACATTCTTTAAAAAAAATAAAAATTCTTAAAGGGGCGTTTTTTGATTTATGAAGCCCTAATTCAGTTTCCAATAATTAAAAATAAGATTTCCTTAGTGTTCTTAAAATCGCATCTTTCCTGAGGAGGACATTTCATTATACTCCAATTAATAACCAAAATAAATCGAATGTACTCTTTGGTACATAGGTAGAAAAAGGTTTGTTTATGGGTACAAAATGATATCACTTAGGCATGAAATTAGGGTTTATTTTAACCAAAGATGCAAACTGACCTGGAGCCTGATATATCTAGAACAATATGTAGGAAGGAGAAAAATGGGGAAGAAAAGACCAAAATTCATTTTATATCCACATTCATTTAGCTTTTCAGTTATAACCATCTATGGGGTATAAAGTTCATCGTTGCAGCCATCACCACAATAGACCAGAGCAGTTTATATCCTTTTTAAATAATTTGAAAACTGCTAAGTACATTAACTGTTCAAGCTGCTTCAGAGAGTAAAAAAATGACAGCTTATCACAAAAAAATAATAAGACTACATAAAATAATTGAGAGTCATGTACATATCAACAGTATATATATATTACATAACAGGTGTTTTTGGAACTCTTGGAAACATTGATTGGTTGGAACACTACAAAGAAATCTGGACAGTTGCGCCTTTTTACTCTTCTGGCTTTAAAAAAAATTTCACAGCAGTTCCACAATCTACAGGTTTCCTCATGGAAAATTGGTGCTGACTGGAGCTGGATGTAAGGGAGCCATCTCTTTCACTTTTGACCTTTTTTTTCAGTGATGAACCTGAGTGTTCCTCTTCAGAATCCACTGTTTACAGGACAGCTTTGCCTTATAGCAGGTATAACCTTCTGGGGGAAGTGCAAGCAGTCAGTTTAAGCACCATTCTGGAAGCAGCAACCACAGGCTAGAAAGTAAGGCAGCGTGTCCCAAATGTTCCTTATTATTATCTGGCCTGAGGTCAGCTCTGCTCCGACAGCTTCTGCACTCATGGGCCCTGAGTTGGCTTGTTTCTACTCATCGATGACTTGAATCCCAAAAGAATGTTCTTACAGCTTTGGGCAGCACATGAAAGAGGGAAAGCTGTGGTCCTGTGGTTTGTATTTTTCACTGTTTGAGTTTTCAGTCTGTTTATGTTCCCCTTATGGCCGTGGACATATTATAACCCTGCATGGCAGAGAGAACATCTTCCAGGCTTTGGTTTTGAACTAGCAAAACGTGTGTGTGTGTGCGTGTGTTGCATTTACATATGCATGCGTCTCTGTAAACTATGTATGTCAGATTATTTATGTGTTTATAGATTTCTTTGCAAGCCTCTGAAGGTCTCATTGGGTGTTACTTTGCTAGAAAAATAAACAGTCCTGGGCGGAATCTCGAAGATCTTAACTCCAGTCCAGTCAATAAAACAAAACCAAATCAACAACATTTTTAGTAAAGTTTGAAGTGCGCACAGGCTGAATCCACCAACATCTGGAATCACTGATCTTTCAACAGCCACTGCTACACACACTGTTTTCAGCTTGTCCAACACATAATCAACATTGGAGACCCAAACAAGACCTCTGAGCTGACGCAGCACCTGGAAAGAAAGGGAAAAAAAAGAAAAAGCTTAACAGGAGGTAAAAACGTACAGTTTTACAAAGCAGAAACAAACAAAAACAAATATATATTTTATAATATATTAAGCCTTTCGAATTCGCTGAAGGTCAATTCACTCAGTCTAGTTAATTACATGGATTAGCTACAAACATTTTTATTCATCAAGTTTAGTGAAATTGAAAGAATGGAATGAACAAACCCTCCGTAAATCCAAGTTATACCTTCCAAAAAAGCCGACAATATCACCATGGATGGATGGATGGATGGATGGATGTGCAGTGAGGAAGGGAGGGAGGAAGGGATAGTGAAAGGAAGGGAATGAGTGAGTGAGTGAGTGAGTGAGTGAGTGAGTGAGTGAGTGAGTGAGTGAGTGAGTGAGTGAGTGAGTGAGTGAGTGAGTGAGTGAGTGAGTGATTGATGGATGGATGGGTGGATAAAGAGAGGGAGGGATTGAACCCTTATAAAATTTTAAAAGGTTAAAAAAAATTGTTTTAGTTTCTCAATCTTATTTTTCATGTATTTTGAAGGTAATGTGTCAGGACTAGGCAGTACGGACTTTTATTTGGAAATGTTGTGGAATTTGTTTCAGTATTGGTAAAAAAACAAAACAATGTTTTTAAAATAAGTTACCTCCATTATCATCATACTTATTATCATCTGTGACTAAATACCAGCCATGTCCCACAAACCAAAACATTGCTCTAAAAGCAAATTTTACTAATAATCAAGGAAGGCCCCTGATGCACCACTTGAAAACAATTACATAATTCTAATACCAAAAAGATCTATAAAAAAAAATAAAAAAAATTGGTAATTATTAGGTAAATAAAAAAAGAATTTTCTTTTCTGATACAGACAAGACATAGATGACCATTGATGGTCTTATGGGCAATGAAATAAGTAGTTAAACAGTAAAAGGAATAATCCTAATTTTACTTAGAGCTCAATTAAGTATTTCTACCAATTTTGGTTGATATCACATTATTCAATAAACAAAAGGATGATTTCCCTTTTCTGCTGTCAGGCAATCAGAATCCACTTAGTTTCACTAGAAAACTCTCACCAAGGGCTTTAATAATCTGGCAGTTATGACTGGCAGGTTAAATAGAGGCAAGAGCAGGTGAAAGAGAGGGTGCTTATGAGTAAAAGAGTGAGGCAAGTAAATGAAATGAGTAATCAAGCCAGTCGTCAGCCCAAAGATCATGACATGGCTGTAATAAATGATAAAATTCAGTCATGGAACCCGATTGAAATAGGTGGCAATTAAAATAAATAATGCAGATAATATTTTCCCCAAAATATCTGATCTTAATGTTGCAAAAAAGATTCTTCTTTTTCTCCTGCAGGTTGGCTGGTCACTCATTTAGAGATGGGGTGAGACAGGAGTGGAGCCGCTTCTCCACATCGAGAGCACTTTCGTTGCTCAGATGTTTGTTTCTGATGCCCCCTGGACGCCTCCTTTCAGGCCTTGGGGGGGGGGGGGGGGGGGGGGGGGTGTCGAGGTACAGGCAAGGACACGCTGGGGGAACTTTATCTTTCTGGAATGTTTCAGTCTTCCCCCAGAGGAGCTGAAGGAGGTGTCTGGGTTGAGGAAAGTCTGTGAGTCTCTTAGAGCAGAGACTGCTGCCCCCCCTCAATGTGGTAGATGACGGGTACAGATATTTTATAAAAACAACAAAAACTGCATGAAAATACTAGATGAAAACAATATCAAAGTAAGAAAAATGAAAAGAAAAATGAAGTAAGGATAAATAGGAAGAATTAACGTAACCAAGGTTGTATAAAGTTATTATTGTTAGAAGGGATGAAGCTTCTAATGAAGTTAAAAGCATTATTCTGCAGATTTTTGCTTTTATTAAAGTACAAAACACTAATTATGTTGACATTTCCTGCAGCAAGGATGAAAGTGTTAATAATTATTGTCATGTTTTATCAACTGAATGATTTAGTTTAGCTTTTCTACTCAGTTTGTCTATCAGTGCAGCGTTACCTACAACTGTTTATACTTTGTTTCATTACAGTGAACAACAGAAAACTGTTTTATCTAATCATTTAGCACTGACGTTGCAAAATGCCAATTTCCCATGTCAGGGTGTTGCTCTATAAAACTGTTTCGGCTGTTCCAAACACTTTTCCTTTTGAAAGGTTGAGAGAAGAGATGCTCTTAGCTCGAACACAAAGAGAGCAGGACTCACCTCAGCTACAGCCACCAAAGACTTCAAGGCCAAAGGATAAAGGCAAGAGAAAAGAACAAGAAAAGAAAGAGAAACTGCAGCATGAAAGAACAAGAGAATGAAAGAAAGACAGAGAATTAGAGGAACACTTAACATATTTGTGCCAAAAAAGACTAATTATATTGAGGTAACTTCATGATATTATATCTCTGTTTATTATAAATATTTTATTTGTGTCCTTCCGTCCAAAAGTTTTGAGGTCTTCAGAACTTTCTGTGTTTATTTCTAAACAAAGACGCAATGCGTCAATTTGTCTGGGTTGCTCAATAGCTGCTCGTTTGCTTTTAATAAACTTGAAATCTGTAGTCATAGATACCACATCCTAGATGTTCTCTTTCACATTCATTGTTCCTTTATACATTCATATTTGAAGAGAAACTAAAAAAGCAGAACACACAATGTCCGCTATGTTGAAGGCTCCTGGATCCCAGGCTCCCTTTTAACACGGCAGCAGTTCTTATAAAAACCTTCACCAACTACATACTAAGTGTATCTACTTAACAGTACATGGACAATATTTGTGTAAGAATTTGTGTTTTTTTTTTCTTTTTTAAAGTTTTTTTACATAGTCCAGTTTTTTAAAGGAATGTAGCTTTCTTTTAACTGCTGTGATCAAAAAGTGATAAAATGATCAAAGAGGGGGATAGATGTAACTCAGGGATATATTGGGAGCTTCCGTCTTTGACACCCCTTTACCTCAACCCCATTTCCCATCCATGTGCTTCAAATACAGGATCTAAAAAATCTCACAGAGAAATCTTTGAAATATTATCACAGTGTATTTATTAAACTAAATGAAAATAATAACCTATGTGACATTCTAACTTGAATGATGATTTACAGTGAACGCCATTGCAAATCAAACTGGGGTTTAGAGATGCAAAGTGATGTTAGCAATAAGATTTATCTTTTATGCGGATTATATGCATCTTATACGCTAGATTTTTTTACCCTGGATGTAAGCCTTTAATTCCTGATAAATAATACACCATCTTACATATTGTCATAAGATCTGGAAGCACTTCAGTCACAGAAAGTCATTTCACAAGGGTGCTAGCACCATTGTAACCACTAGATGTCAGTATGTGTTCAGCATTTAGGCTATCTAAACTATTACTTTGAACTTTTTAATCTGTGAGCAACATCCTTAGTAAGTACTGCTTTAAGACACAGGTGTATCAGCAATTACCTTTTCCTCTAGATCTTTAATCTGCCGCCTTTGGATTTCTGTCTTGTCTTCAAGATCACGGATTCTCTGTTGTTATTTAGAGACAAATGTATGAATACAACCAGTCAGCTAGAAAACCTTTTTTTTGTTAAGGTTTCAGTATATATTAAGAACCTGGTGGGCCTGGTGTAGCAGCTCCATCCTCTCCTGGAGGATCTGGCAGTCGTACTCGCGACTCTTTCTCAGCATCTGCCTCCTCAGCTTCTCCACCGCCATTCTCAGCTCGTCCTTCTGAAGCTCGTTCAGAGGCTCGCCGTACTTTATCACCTGGTGCAAAGGCATCAGCTAGCATTAGAAAAATCCTCTGGCATTAGAAAAATCGCCGCTAATCATTTCAAGATGAATTTTTACTTATTTTAGATAAGTAACTCTTTCCATGTAAAAAAGGGTTTCAAGAAATCACAAGATTCTGAGAACATTTTAAGAGCCCTGCAGGGATCTTGCATCTCTTAATTTCATTCTCTGTGAAACTACTTCAAGTGATTTAAAGTTTTGACAATGAATGCTTTTATCTTTTTAGGAGAACCATTTCAAATAGCTTTAAATCTCCTCCTTAATGAGAACGGGATGATCGCAAGCATGTGTTCAGATTTACTGAATGAATTAGCTACTGTTTTTAATAATGCACGCCTTGGAGTTTTCTAAACATTTATATTTTTTTCTCATAGCATGAGGATGTGATGCATTAAAACATTTAAAAAAATCAAATCAAACACCTTGTCCTGCTGCAGGGCGTTGTATAGGGTTGCTTCCAACTCCTGGATTTGCTGTTGAGAAAACGGTTGTAAATTTACTCATCATACGAACACAAGCAAATCTAAACATTTAAAAAATACCTGTATTTAAAAAGGAATTATTTATTGACATTATTCATTGATTACTTTTAATTTCTTAAAGGCTTTGCTTCTTAGAGCCAGACTTTCTTGCAATCGTTTAACAATACTTTCCCCCTTTCCCTTTATTACACATATTGTTGTTAAATGAGAATGCATCATATAGTAGCCACTAAAAACCGCCTTCAAAAGTCAAATAACTAGCTCTCTAACATGAAAGAACAAAACTATAAATAACAAAAATATTAAAGTCAGTTCAGAAACATCTTTTTACATTTCAAATTGAAAGCTAATATTCTTGATCAGAATCTGTAGAAGTCTGCCTGTGATTTAAGGTTGGAAAAAAGGTCCACCGTCCAGTAGGAGAACAAAAGCAAAAGGAAGTAATTTCAAAGGAAACACTCAAATGTAATGGAAGGTCCTATGGTAGTTAAAGTAGAAAATCTTTTTTTTTTAAGGTTTCAGGTTTTTATTCTTTTTTTTAATTCAAATTTCATTCTATAAATTGTGATTTAGTCATTTTCCTCTAAGGGTGTTTTTCTATTGTCTAAGGGTCTCTTTAAAGAAAGTATTCTCCCACTGTGCAGAATCTGTTAGTTTAATCTCTAACGTTATGCTCTCTCTGCTTTTTCTCATAGTAGCTTCGTCTCGTCTGTTCCCGTGTGGCTGTGACTCCATCCTGGAGAGAAATATCAGCTGTGCTGCTGCCATCAACCCCTCTGTTTATAGATGCTGGAGATTGCCTTGTTTTTCAGTGTAGTCCCGTTTCTCTGACTGTGACTGTGTATCCTGGACAGGGCTGCCTTTTACAGCTGCTTTCTGCATCTTTGCTTCTGTCTCCTTGAACCCCAGTCAGCCTCGGCAGATGGCCGCTCACACTGAGCTTGATTCTGCTGGAGGTTTCTTCCTGTTAAAAGGGAGTTTTTCCTCTCCACTGTCGCTACAAGCATGCTTAGTGTGAGGGATTGTATTCGAGTCAATGCAATCAGCTGATTTTCCCAAAGTACTATATGTAATTTGAGATCTATAAAATGATTTAATAAAAACTACTTGGTATGTACAGTATTGATGCTCTGTGCAGGCTGCTGTTTTCAAAAACTCACCTAAGTTTAAGTCTGTTTATTCCAGAAGAATTTGTAAAATCTACTAGAAAGAAACTGGGTGATAATTTCATCTAAAGGCCAAAAAAGTCTTTTGATAATCTCTCAGAATCCCAGAGAATTTTAAATCCAAGATACTTTAGAGATTTGCAAGGAAGTATGGCTAAGTATGAAAAACATACTGTACATTCTTTAAAAAAGTGACAAAGTATCCATAAAGCACCAAATTAGATTTACCATGTAAGCCTGGTCCAGGGCCTGCTTTCTGTAGTCTAGCTCCTCTTCTAGATATCCTTTCTGTTTACAGAACATGTCCTGTACACACAGATGATGTTATCACACAAATGAGATTGAACTGATGTTGCAATTCAAGCTACCTTAATCTATTAAAGATAAACAGTAACAACAGACAGTGCTCAATGTAAGAAACATATTTTAGATATTTGTTAATAATGTCACTAGTTCAGTTGCATTTCTTCAAAGGCAACTGGACACGTTGCCTTTGAAGGTATTAGATATTTGCAACTTTTCAAATAAGGGTTGCTTTGATATCTAATGTGATATTAAAGCAAAATAAATACAATGTAAGTCTAAAAATCTAAAAACCCTTGAAATGCTTTTGAATCAGCTTCTCTCATTGGATAAAATGTTGGTATCTCTCATTATTGTAACAATTTTTCCAGCATATTTAGTCATTTAGTTAAATAAAATCTTTTAAGACCCACCATTTCTATCTCGAGGTCCATCATCTTCTGATGTAGTGCTGCCTCTGTCCCTTCTATCTGCTGAATCCACTAGAGGACGACATTTAGCCAAAGTTAAGTACGTCTAACACAGAAAACTGTATGTACCTAATGGAAGTTGCTTCATTATCTAGACTAAAAAAAAATATATATTTTTTTTTTTTACCTTTTCTGCCAGTGACAAAACAGTGCTAGCCTGAATTATTGCCACTTGCTCCTCATTCCTCAAGTTCTGCAAAAAAGATTAAGTTTATGTTAATATTCCTAATTTACAACTGCATGCCGCACACTTAAGTTAGATATATAATAATTACCCCATTGTCCCCGAGGATATCCAGTAGCTTGATAAGATCTGGTATGCACACATCCTGTGAAGAAAAGCAAATATGATCACAGGAATGCGTAAATGTGCTGAATTTGTAATGATACATATTTATCACTTCTGGTTGCTCTTCTTAATATGCACCTTGACCCCTTCCTTCATGCAGTAAATCTGCAGCGCGCTGACTCCCTCAGAGAACGGATGCATCCGCAAATGGTTAAAAGGTGGAGACCTCCTTTCACGTTCCTACAAAGAAACATTTAAATTTAAAATGTAATTGTACTTCATCACATTTTCTCAGGTTATAACCAGAAACTCTAATATTTTCTTACGGGATTTTCCATGACAACGCAAAGGCTACAAATTTACAGAAGGATGGACAAAGATATGTAGTATGTAAACACGTTTTTAATATTCAAATCTAAAATTGTGTGGCATGAATTGGTGTTCAGCTTGTGTATTTCAGTCAGAGCTTCAGAGAAATCTGTTTCAGTTACAGCTGTATTTTTTCCACACCTTTGAGTTACTAGAATCTCCTCTGCTTATTCAAATATGTAAAGTAACTCTACAGTAGAACAGTTTGATCTCAGTTTGAGTCTTGTTAAAGATTTTTATGAATTTTTGTTTCAAATGTAGTAAATATGAACCACATAAAAGTTAATGAAATAAATCAAATTATACCACCACTATGTTGATGTGTAGCATTAGTTTCTGCCACACATAATCTTTTACATCTGAACCCAAAAGTTGACCTACTGTATGGTCTCTCCTATCCAAAAGACCCCTCTTCCACATGTTTTCTGTGTTCTCCTACATGGCTTGTTGCAAATTTTCTCAACAATTTCTTTAGAGCTACCATTATCCTCTTGGCTGCTCTGATTAAGGCATTCCTTAGGTTTGATAGTAATTATTATCTTGCAGGTGTATTAAATTATTTCAGTTTAAAGATCATGGATTGACCAATGCTTCATGAAAAATTTAAAACATGGTTGTTTATTTATGGTGTAACCTCTCTCGAACTTATTTTCTGGCTTAATTGTGTTCTTTTATTTTATTTTATGCTCTATGGTTACTAACATTCTCTGAATTATACCTTCATGGACTGTATTTACTGATTAGGCGATTTCTGATGGCTTTAAGTAGCAAAATACTTTAGAGACTGCACACCATTCTCAGGACTTGCTTCTTTCTGTATTTCTTTTTTTGATCCATCATATCTGATTCAAATTAATTGCAAAAGAGATTGTAAAAGCATAAATATATACCTATTAGTTTAAGCTAAAATCAAGCCAGCAAAATTTGACAAAAATAAACATCTTCTTAGCAGGTTTCCCTGAATCATTTCTTTTCCCAACAGCATTTTAATTTAATCAAAATACACCAAATAAATAAATCACCAATAATTCTGGTTCTTTCCTCTTTAATAATGAGATGGTACATATATCTTCATAAGCTTCTATCACATTAAACAAAAATACCTTTAAACCTAGTTTTTTTTCCCTTTAGTTTTAAATTTGATAAAAACCACAAGCAAATAATTACAAATCCCCTTTTTTTTCCCTGTTCCTGTCAAAAACTATTTCATTGAATGGTGTCAATTCTTTTTAATGTCAATTACTTTTAAAGTCTTCATTTTACTTTGCTGACCAGTAGTAAACATCTCTACCAAGTACAAGCACCAAAGCTGACCTTTTTACAGGGAAACATTTTTGAACCACTTACTAATATAATTATTCTTAAAAATGAAAAAATGCCGCATGAATAAAAGAGAAATAAAAAAAAAACTGAGCAATGTCAAATTCAATTATCTGCAGTAGATAAAACATTAGTTACACTCACAGGACTTCTGAGAAAAACTGCATTTTAAGAGTTAGATCATTAATAATGCTCAAATTGATGGCCCAAAAACATCCTAAGACTGACAGTTTTACCAAATTGGAGCATGTAGGACTTTTTTATTGAGCAATGTCTGTGTAAGTCTCTTCAGGCTAAACTCTGGGAAACTTTGATCATTGTAGTGTAGGAAAAAAAACATTCATCTGGAAAACAACATGACTTACCTCCAGCTCCAGTATCCTAAACTCCAACAGCTCATTTTGGTCCCTGGAGTCTTGGAGCTCCTCCTCAAGCCGACTGCATTCTGACTCCAACTTTTCCACCTAAAAAACAGTCACATTTATAGATTAAGGACAAGTTAACTTACAATATTTTTCCTAATATTTATGAGTCATTTGTTATGACAACAATAAAAACATATTTCTAAACTTTTTACAAACAAAAGAAGTTGAAGTTCAACCTTATCCAGCAGCTCCTGGTTTCTTCTTAAGAAAAGCTGCTTTTCCTCTACCCATTTGGAGTCCTAAAAGACATGAATAACAATCCGCTTAAAAGACGAATAAGAGGTGAAGTGATAAAGCTTAACAGAATGTCCAATGACTTACACAGAAACGTCTAATGAGCCCGAAATGTTTAATTTAAACATAAGACCTTTTTCCATTGCCACTCAAAAGCCTGAAGGATTGGAGCCTGGGTAACATTTACAAACACATTTAAGGGGGTAAATCTACCGACCTAGGGCTTTGGACCCTCTAGAGAGGTGTTTTTTGCACAGCTGGGCCCAATCCCAAAAAGCCACCTAAACACTAACCCTTAACTATCAAGTATGACTCCTAATGAAGTCACACTGGCAGCTGCGGAACACGCCTTAATGGGGGGTGGGCATGGAGGGGTTTAAATAAGCATGGGATGGCCTCTTCCCTCCAACGGAAAAGGAAAGCAGTCATTGCTATGGCAACACGGTGACGCCGTGTACATGTTTTTAGCTCTATGGCGCATGTTGACATGCAATCAATTTGAAAGAGGAACTTCCCTGTTGGAATTAATGATGTTTTTCATAAGATTTTCTGTGTGACAATGACGCAGCAAACCAGCAGAAGTTACGTTTGAATGCCAGTGTTTGCTCACAGTAATTTTGTTGTTTAATAATCTTCTGAAGAGGAGGGTCACTGTTGTCCATGATCATCTTCTGAAGAATTCTTCGTTGTGAAATTATCTCTAGAGGTTCTAGAAGGGTTCCTAGAACAGAACCGGCATTCTTTATTATTTCGTTTCTGTACTTTAAGGTGACTTTAGGGTTCAGTCACAAACCAATGACAGCATTTAAAGACCCTGCCTGTTCTCTAACTATAGCCTACTGCAAGGGTCTTCAACGTTTTCCAAGCCAAGGACCCCCAAACTGATGGCGAGATGGAGCGGGGACCCCCTAATTATATATAGTGTATGAAATTATGTTATATCAAACTGGTCCTATAGTCACTCTATTACATATGGAGTAATGTAACAAAAGTAATTTCTCCCTGGGATTATTAACATATTTCTGATTCTGATTCCTCGTTGATGGGACAGGTGTTGTGAATGAAACGGTGTCCAGCTTGAAAGAGCTCCTGTTAGTCGCTGAATGTGTGCATTGATAACTGAAAGACATCTTCTGCCTCCATTTGTCTGTTTACTACTGTACAGTGTGTTGAATTCATGTTAATGTTTATTTAAAGACATTTAAATTTAATTATAAAAAAATGTCTAATCAACCAAAACTTTCACGACCCCCATGCAGTACCTCCGTGAACCCCCTAGGGGTCGCGGACCCGCTGTTGAAGACCTACTTTATATCAAGAAAGACAATATTTTCCCTATTTATTTCTGTATGTGTCTGTAGCGGACTGTAATGTGCTGAATATTGAAAGACAATTTGATTAACTTTAATTTAATATGTATTTATGAAAGGACATTGAGGACATATTCATCCAACAGAGCTCAAATTACTCTAAAATCCTACAGAGCTCTAATTACTAATGAGCTTATTTTATTGTGCCTATGCTTTAGGAGGATTTGAGATTGAAGATGCAGCTGAACAGCTGATTTTGCTTGCTTCATTGCATGTCTAATCCAGTAGGCTGATGTATTTGTAATCACCCATAGAGGGAGTTATTGTACCCCTCAAATTGTAACCAGCATCCAAGGTTAATCTCTTTTTTCCAGCCACAACTAGTCCAAATTCTTTTTTTTTATCAGAGATATTTTAATGTCTCTAGTAGCACAGATGGATGTCATATCCTAAACTGGCATTTAGGCCTGCTAATGAATTTGCTGAATTATGCGTCATGAATTATTTAAAGGTAAACAGTGATTATACAATGTTAACACATCAAATTTGATGTGCCAAAGATTAATAATTCATATAGGGTATCATTCCATGTCTTATTTGAATGCCAAAATTGCATGGTGCAGAGAAAGCTCATTTTGGCTATTCTTGTCCAAAATCTATATTTTTGGGGTCAAGACTAAGATTTAGAGACCTTATGTGAGGGTAGGAATGTGGACAGATGGGTATACTGAGGGATTTCCTTTCAGCTATGTCTTCACGGTCACAGACAGTTGCAGTCTCCACATTACGACAGCAACCACACCAATCCATTTGGTGTCTCCTTCTCCATTTTCCCCTCGCTCCTGAACCGGAACCCAAAACACTTGAATTCCTCCACTTGAGGCAGGAATCCTCCTCAAACCTGAAGATGGCAAGCCACCCTTTTTTTTGTTGGGAACCTTTGTCCTATTTTTTGTAAAATACCAACATGCAATCTTAAATATCCAATATATTGAACCTGTAGATGTTACATAGATCCAAAGCTCTGGCAGAAAATCTGTGTCTTTTAGTCCTCACAAAAGTAGCCTTGTTGGCCAGGTGGCAAAAAGAAAGTAAGTGAAACAGTCTGCCCTTTAAGGTTTGTAAAACGTGTGTGGAGACAGTAGCAGTACACGTTACTCCAAATACACGCATTGTGCTTTGGAATTACTATTTCCCAACAGAGAGAGCAAAGCTAGTAAAAGGTCATTCGAAAGTAAATGGAGGTACAGTAGTAGCCATTTAAAATGTCCCCACTTTCCTTGATGGGCTCTTGGCTAGTCCCCTACAATTCCTTTGTAAACATCTAAAATATTCTTTCGGTCATGATTTGTGGACATTAGATCTAAAGGGAAGCGTTATCTCCTGGTCAGAATCTGTAATTCAGTGAAAGGGTGGAGTCAGAGTAAAAAAAATATGCATTCCCAGAAGAAGGAGGGGGTCGCTCCGGTGGCTGGAATTTGGAGGGGATTTTGCTGCCATTTGGCTGTCTTGTGCCTGGGAAGGGCTATTTTGAAAGGCTGCTATTTTAAATACAGGGAAAATCCAGGATAGAATCATGCAAGACACAAAACAGACCACAGATTAAGGTGGAGCTTCTAGTTTCAGCAGATAGATGACAGAAATCATGCAGCTAGAGCCTCAACAGTTGGTTTATATCCAGAAAACCTTCTCATATAGATATTTACAATTTTATTCTAAATGGTATTAAATTCAATTATTAGCATTTTTGATGTGTGAAATTATCTACCAAGGCCAAATTATGATAATGAAACAGTTAAAGTTTTGTGTGAGGCATTATTTTATAAATTCCTGAGGGGGAAAAAAAGGTATTTCCATTGCAGATTAAATCCATATATTAAAGAAGCATTAATCATTTTGTTCTCACCTGTCCTTTGAAGGCTAGTTCCTTCTCCAGATCCTCTATTTTGGCTTTGTACCGGAGCACATCTGCTTGCAGTTGCTCTTGAGCCTGAAACATCAGCAAAGCCAAACTCAATTATGTAGTAAATTACATTTTTACCAATAGTGATTTCATCTATTCTCAAGTTGACATTGCTAGAATCTGGAGCTGTGCCTCTGCTTACATTTCTTTGGTGCATCAACATTTTGTAATTGGTATGTGTAGAAGTGGGGAAGAGAAAATAAACAATACATTTGTACAGTTCAATTCAATAAAACAATATTTTATTGATCCCAAATGGTGAGTAAATGTTGTAACAAGTTTTTTTGTTTAATGATATGTAGATGTTAATAGCTATAGACTATTAAGATCTCCTGTACCAGACTTTCTTACAAAGGGTCAAGAGAAGCCTCTGACGAAGACGCTTGGCTGTTGTACAACAGTCAGACGAAGAGGATACACAGGATTTTCTTCCTTTTTTATTTCATGAATAATTCTTCTTTGTAAAATCATCTCCAGAGGAGCTCTCAGAACAGAGTTGGTCTTTCTTATTGCATTGTTGAGCTTTAAGGCTTAGGCTTAGACTGCTGGAGGACATAGGGACCCTTTTTCATCATTCTCCTACATTTTATTCTCCCTTTCTAAAGTATTTGTTATTTCAACCTCTGTTATGCTCCCTTTCCTTGTTCTCATCATAGTAGCTGTGACTCCATCCTGGATAGAAATATCAGCTGTGCTGCTTATACTGTAGATGTTGAAGTTTGCCCTTTTTTTCAGTGTAGTCCTGTTTTTTTGGCTGTGACTAACTGGGTGTGCTCTTTTCATCCTCTGACCTGCGAGCTGCGTCGGAACTTGTCTGCCTGGCTGTGTCTTGCCTTGATGTCTTTCCTGTTTGTGGAGCTGGTTAACAGTTACATTTTGCATCTCTGCTTCTTTATCTATCCCTGCTTCACTCTCCTTTAACCCCAGTCGGCCTCGGCAGATGGCCGCTCACACTGAGCCTGGTTCTGCAAACAGCCACTTAGTATTTAAAGTCAATAACATGAGAAGGGACCCTGAGATTATGCACAGGTTCTATATATAATAGAACAATGTTTTCAGACTTCATTTTTGCTGCTGCCAGAAGATTTGACCTGAATAGATACATTGATCTACTATCATTAAAGAAACAATCTGTAATATAACTGCGGTAACAACATCCATGGCAAGAGGTTTTGATATGTACTAGTTTTACTGAATATTTATTTCTAATATCTGAAAAAAACTTTTTTTCTTTGTCTAAATGACCATTTCAAACAGAATGACATTCTCCACATCTAGAATAAACATTCTGGATGTCTAGAAATTAATTTCAGATCTCCATTTTCCTAATATTACTGCTCAGCATTTATACTAATTTGATTATGAAGAAATGTATTTCAGATATGATAAATACATTTTCAGTCAAGCTGATAAATATCAGAACGGCCAATTAAAATGTGTAAAAAGTTCTAGATATATAAAAATTAATTCTTACTAGTAGATTTTTTTTTATTTTTGCTACAAAAAATGTAATTTAGAAAATGAATTATTACAGTTCGGTGTAGGAGTGTGATTTTTATCAGGAAGAATCTTATTTTAGTTATCTATAAATGGAACAATGGAAAGCAGAGTGCTTTTAATAAATGATAAAACAGCCTGCCATCTTCCTCTCCTTTGCAGCTGTAGCTCTGTTGCTCTCCTTTTTTTATTTTTTCATTTCTGCATTAAAATCTCTAGTTCCAGTAAAAAGGAATTTCCTGTTGCCTGTTGTAATAATGACTCTTTTAGACTCTTTATCAGACGATATTGTCCCAAAAGTTAGAAAAATCCTGTCTTAAATTCTGTGTTTTTTTTCCCTTTATCTTATGCAGGCCAGTTAGTTATACGTCAGCTTGTACACCTAAATTCGGCCAATCATATATCAATGGTCATCTGTCAATCTAATTTTTTCGGTCATAGCTTCTTCATTCTTTTTTTTTCATTCATATGGAGCTAATATACGCAATGTTTGAAATAAGAATAATTTATTTTACCATTGAGTTCCGTCCCAGTGTTCATGGAGATGGACGTCTCTGTCTTTGGCAGGCCTAGAGCTAACAGAACTGGCAGAGTGCGAGGCAAGGCCTCAAACATGTACGGCTGTAAGCCTTCTACACCAAACAAAGTTTCTGCCGCCCTGGCGTCCTCTTCCGCAACAAATTCGTCCCCGCTTTCCTCCTCTAAATACAAAATGTATGATGGAGGAGACTCATCCACAACCTCCGAAACTCTCCTCCTCTTTTATGTTTTCATATTCCATAGCGTTCCTTGACAGTGTCACCAATTGCAAAGTCACCAATTTAGTGCTACTTGTTCCCAATGTAATTTCCCATTGGTAACCTACTGGCACGAAGTTGCTAACTGGTTAGCACGATGCTTCTGAGAGACCGGTCACAATCAAACTTGCTTGCGAACCTTCCGCCACAACAATCCCACCCCCTTGATAAACGACCAATCACATTCACTTTATTCGCTCCCCACGACTAACTCTGAGAGGTTCTACTTGGAGTTGATTAAACTAATTCATAGCAGCCGTTGTGAAACCGAAAACTCAGAGTTCCCTACTTTAGGCTAAAGCAGTTTAGAGTTTTGGATTTGAATCTGAGTTTATGAAACTTACTTCGTGAAACGGACCCCTGTTCACGTGCACTTATGCTTTTTGAATGTCTGCTTTTGTGGTCTGAAAGCCATGTAGACACACACTGGTGCCATGTTTCAGTGGAACACAATACTGCATTACCAGTATTCTGGCTGGTATTGATCGACCTTGTTTCCTAATGATTCCATATTGTTTAATATAACTGAAGGAAGTGATAGCTTGCATTTCTTTCTTCTCTCTCTTCTCTTTGACCCTGCTCAGTAATTTAAATGTCTCCTTTTGCACTTATCCAAGACTTAGAGAGAATGTGTAAAGTATTTTTTTTATTTTTACTGTACTTTCGATATTTTAGTAAGCTGTTCCTGGCTGTTAAAACAAGTTACAATAACTGCTATAGTTATGTATCATAAACAATATTCTAAAATAAAAAGATTATTAGCTAAATTACTTTAAAAGCATTAAACAAAAACAAAAAAAACAGAAATAGAAAATTTCATCCTTAACTGGAGAAACTGAAGTATTTTTAAAGCAGTACTGTGTAACTTTTAGCCACTCCGAGTGCTACACATGTGACTGAGTTTAAGCCCCCCTCAACTGTCAATACTGTATTGTCGCAAGATTTAACAGTCTCTAATGGCCTTTTGAAAGCAATCCTCTAAGTCACATGACTTATTTAATCATGGACCCGACCCTCACATTACATAGCTGGGTTTTTGAGTAGGGCAGACTAGACAATGCACGTAAAGAAAAAGTGCGCTTCTCTAAGTCATCGCAACAGAAATTTTTTTCTCCCTTATTTTAAGAAATCCTGGACATGCACGAAGCCCAGTTATTTTTTTTAATAAAACACAAAGAAAACTTTTTCATGTTTTATGATACATAATTTTCTAAATTTAGCTTTAGTTATTTTTATCATTTACATTGTTTACTTTGGTTCATAGCACTTAGAGATAAGATACCTACGTAAAGTGCTCCATAAGTAACATGCTCTAAAAATAACTTTTACATCCAACCTCATAGCTTAGAACCTGATCTTTCTTTAAGGGCCACTTTCAAACTGCCAGTAAAACACATCAAGTTCAAATTTTAATGGGTGGAAGGAAATCGGTTTGCACATCTTAATATTTGCACATCAATCTTTGTAGATCACCCGCAACATGCCAACTTATTGCACATACTAAAAAAAAACTATTTCATGTACAATTTAGCACCCCTCACTTGGAATCGTTTTGAGTCATAATGTATGTAGTGAAACTAGCAGAGCTACTCCATTTTAGTAAGGCAAATTAAAATCACAATGTTACAGTATAGTGTTTATTTTTATTTTTTAATCTGTTCCCCCATGTTTCACCTCATCTACAATATTGCAAAAATATTTTCCAAAGGGATATAAGAATAAAAAACAAGTTCAAGACCAGAAAAACTTGGTAATACTGAACCCAATTATTATCTACAGTAAAAGCTCATAATATTAAACACGTGATAAAATCTGAAGACAAGATCATCATTAAATTCTCTAAACTCACATGACCTGCACTGGTTCCTTGTTAAAAGCCCTAAAGATTAAGGTCTATTTTGAACAAAAATATGTTTATTTTCATACAGTTTCCACTAAGCCATTTCCCTTGGTGCTGCAGTAACTGTTGAGAAACTAAAGGAAAGAAAGTGGACTTTTAATGCATCCAAGAAAACAGATTTTTATTAGTGTTCCAAAGACTTTAAGCTTTTATTTAGGACTGCCGCCATGGAGCCTTCTGGGATGAACGTTGCTTTGCTGCTAAAACTTCTAATGATATGCTCAGAGTGCCATTATTTACTTATTTTATACAGCAGCTGTTACTATTCCATGACGTTTCCCAGCCCCTGATTTTTAGCTGACAAAAACAGGAAGCAGTAAAACAGGATATGCATTTAACAGACTTTTATTAAATTTGGCCCTATATGAAGTGCTTTGAAATCCAAAATGTTGTAAATCAGTGCACTATGCCTGAGCTGTATTATTGAATGGTACTCCTTAGTAGCATCCAAGTCAGCTGACCACAAGGCAACATAAGACAACATAAAGATTGCTTGAAACATAGTACCTTTGCTTCCATCTCAGCATCCAGAAGGCCTCCTTTCTGTTCCTGCAGCAAGGCATAGGCTCGTTGTAGTGCCTGATACTCCCGGGTCAGCTGGCGAAAACGTAACTCGGATTCCTCATTTGCAAGACCCTGGTATGACACACAGTAAGAAAGAAATTAACTGGATTTATATCACACTTTTTAAAGGTAATGTTTATATATCAATTGCATTGATAACTGAAAACAAGGTCTTACATCACCCAGGTCTTCATCTGGAGTGGCTGGGGTTCTGTCCATGCGAAATGATGCCACTGAGGAAGACTCAGAATCCATTGATTCTTCATCATAGCCAAAGAAGGTGTCTACTACAATGTGTCTCTGGAGATAAATTAAGTAAACATATTTTGAGTAGTTCTAATTTAATGCTTTTTAATGCTCTTTTAATGCTCTTAGAAATACTTTTAATGCCATCAACAAGTACACCACTTTAGGGTTGATTAACGCTTCTTTAATATATGGATTTAATCTGCAATGGAAATACCTTTTTTTCCCCCTCAGGAATTTATAAAATAATGCCTCACACAAAACTTTAACTGTTTCATTATCATAATTTGGCCTTGGTAGATAATTTTACACATCAAAAATGCTAATAATTGAATTTAATACCATTTAGAATAAAATTGTAAATATCTATATGAGAAGGTTTTCTGGATATAAACCAACTGTTGAGGCTCTAGCTGCATGATTTCTGTCATCTATCTGCTGAAACTAGAAGCTCCACCTTAATCTGTGGTCTGTTTTGTGTCTTGCATGATTCTATCCTGGATTTTCCCTGTATTTACAATAGCAGCCTTTCAAAATAGCCCTTCCCAGGCATATATATATGAGTCCACTCGCCCTACCCACTACCTGGTTTGGGACGACACTTAATGTGGTGCACCCTCCGCGGGAACCCGAAAACGGAGGGTTAGTGCTCAGGGTTAGTGTTCAGGGGCCGGTTTGGGCAAAATCTCACTGAAGATTATTTTCTCAATCTTCTCCAATAGCATAATCTAACAGAGTCGATACTAAACTATGTAGCAACTGTCAGAAAAGGAAAACAAAAACTCTTTCATTGAAGATTTCTAGTTCAGTAATCTATTTGATGGGAAAAAAAATTTAACTAGCTGCCATAAAATATAACTGCTCATTATTCTAAATGTGATTTTGCACCTGTCCTTTCGAAGTGCGCAATCACCTGCAGCAGTTCATTTTCAAATGTTGAACATTGCATTACAGAAGGTAAATATTTACAGTTGTATTTTCTACATAAATTTGGACATTAGAATATGATATGCATATTAAAGAAGGCAACCAGTCAAAAAAGGTTTGTGTCGCCTGCTGAACTGAACATGCAATAGCAATATTACTTTGCACCTTCTTTAAAGATCTGCTCTGCAAATGCAAACAAGTTTGCAAATCTTTTAATACGGGCAAACTTTTTAAAGATCAGGCCCTTTGAGTTTTGAACATTTGGTATTAAAAGCAAAATACAAATTCAAAAAAATACGTATGCCTTCTTTTTTATTAAGAAAACAAATATTTTTTGTACCTTCACAGGCCTTGAACTTCTTTTATGTCTCTTCTTCCTCAGTAGTTTTTCACGATCCTAAAAGTAAGTAGACAGATATAAAGAACAAATAAACACACAAGATACTGATCTGTCCACCAGTCTATCTACCTATGATTGTTTGTGCGTAGCGTAAAAGTGTTTTAACAGGAAACCTACTCTTGTTAATTCATCAATCATGCTTTGTTGTTCCAGCACTTGAAGTTTGAGAAAGGCTATTTCCTGGTCATCATGTGCCTGGTCCAGGTCATTTAAGGACTTCAGTTTCTTTAGAGGTGGATGGGAACCTATCCTCTCCTTCTGCGAACGCACAAGAAAATAGATTTCACCACATGTAGCAGCTGATTTAGAGACTATAAACACTGTGATTAGGATGTTAGCTTGCCAACCATTTCATTGTTTTCTTTTGTCAGGCTTTTCAGCTTCTCCTCTAGTTTCTGGATGGTCTGAGTTAAGTCATCGTTCCTCTTGTTCAGCAGCTTATTCTTGTCCAACAGGGGCTTGCACTGCTTTTCGGATTCTCTAACTCGCTTTAGCTATTGAGAAAAAAAGCACAGGGGCATGTAAAAAGGTGAAAATAAAAGCATAGCATATTTTAACTAAATAATCATTAAGTTACACTAAACGTTTCCTGCTGTCTGCCAGTTACCAAAATTTGATTTGTGCTATAATTGGTAAGAGATTTTGTTTTTGGCTTCTTTCTTATTTATATTTTCAAACCACCAGTCAAAAAACAAACAAAAAACATTTGATTGTGATCAAATAAGTCTATATACATCAAGCATCAGTCCTGATAATCTTTGGAGGTATAGTTCTTTTTGAGCTAAGGTATAGAGGTATTTTTATTTCCAGGTGGATCATCTAAATAATTTGTCCTCCTAATTGTCACTCATTCTTGTGATATGTTTACGTAAGGCCGTCCTACGTGCTTGCCCCCGGTTAGCTATCTTTTTCTGCGCATGCGCACTTTCAGCCGTATATAGCTACGGTTTCAGACAGTCCTTGAAGCTCACCTTTCTCACCTTGGTTCTCTGAAAATGGCGAGAGTCATAAGAGAAAAAGTGTCTATGAAGTGTATGAGAAGAAAAGAAAGGCCTCAGAAGAGGCAGATGTATCCCGGAATGCTTTGAGCAGAGAGCTCTCCTCGCAAAGCATTATGGGACTTGCTATTACATCGGCCCGTTTAATAACAAAGATGGCACAGGAACCGCACGGTGAAGAAGGAGTTACGTGACCAACGGGGAGCAAAGAGCGGTGATTATCTGTCTGAAAAGCCAGTTAACAGAGTTCACTATAAAGTCCACTATATAGTCCCTGCTCTATCCAGTGATTGAAGGATTTAGGGGTTAGAGTGGACATTCGGACACAGTAACGGGCTGGTTATACTCCGCGAAGCAGTGTGTTGCAGTGAACTTGTCACAGATAGTTTTGCGTGTTATTCCACGCCACAACACAAGAAGGACAATCAGGAATTAGCTGTGGGTCTAGATACCGCCGAGGCAGTGGGGGCAAGTTTGTGCGACAACGGAGGGACATGAGGGCGGAAAAGAGTGGGGATCCGGGTGGAAAAAAGAGTCCCAGTGTTCTCGCGCACCTCATTCTTCTAGTTGGTCCAACTTTACAAGTCGTTTTCCACAATGGCGGTCATACAAACAAAATAAGTTTGTATTCGAGATTTGACCAATCAGAGGCCTCCTATCTGCGGCTATGTTTTCGGTCACCTACAATTTGGGAGAGGTGCAGCAGAGGGGCGGAGGCACATTTGCATTCACTAGGACACACGCTGGTTTCTGAGTATTAATCAGCCAACTTTTCAACAGAGCCTGCATGAGAAGAAATGGGCTCGTACATGCTCTCCCACACGTTGAATAGGCGTTCCATCTCAGGAGCAGGTGGAGGACTGTACATGTGCTTTTTTTTTTTTTCAGTGGAGAGGGCGAGTACTCAAAAATCCTCCACAATCCCATTAAATAACAGACCCAGCGTCCAGCAACGCCACAGGAAAAGTGACAGCTTGGCATATTTGAAGACTGCGTTGAATAAACAGACCAATCAGTAGCAAGTTTAAGATCTAGTGTATCGTTCCAAAAGACTCCTATCAATTAGGGCATCTAGGAAAAATAACATTCCCATTCCTGCCAAAAATAAACCAGGTCATATCATCAAAATTTGTTTATTTTAATTAAATAAAATGTATTTAACAGCAATTTTCCACTAAGGACAGCCATGAATTATATCTGATCTTGAGTCGTCTTCATTATTCATTGTTTGTATAACAATAATCTTCATTTTCTTTACAACTCTGCTGGGAGATGATAACTAATTTAGCCTGTTGCTTCCTTGCTTACCCTTACCTGTGTGTTATCGTATCTCCAATCAAGCACTGTTTTATTGGAAATATGACGAAGTGCTTTATTTACTACAAAACTGAACTCCCAAAAAGTGTAAATTACATGTTACAAATAGGCCAACAGGATATGGCAATCTTACAGAATAACTTTGCAAATAATTTAGATGATTTTCTGAATACTACCCCTTAATGTTTTTTTTATAAATGCCCCAATCATTTTTACAAAGTAAATCAATCCCTTAAATACACCATAATAATAGAACAAATACATTCAACAGCCTTAGAAAACTGGAAACTAAATCTGAGAGTGAATCATACATGAGGGGATCTACAAATGTATTTCTAATATAATATATCTTCTGAATATCACACAGTTTATAAATGTGCATATGGTTTTACCCTTAAATGAATTCATGATTTTACCTTGTTTCAGTCATATGTTGTAAATTAAGTTTCTTTCCTTAAAATACAGTAATAAAAAAGGATTCCAGTTTATTCCTGCCTATTTTTTCTGGCATTTAAAAATGGAAATAATTCTGTAATCTTAGCACTAACAGGAAAAGTTTAGTATGATTTAATGATGGATTGTGACGTATTTATTTGAATTGCTTTACAGTGCATTCAAATATCTGGCACCATTAATAAAGTGTATAAATATGAAAAACATTATTTGTTGATACCAATTCATTTCTCTCGTCAACCAGCAATGAGTTGCGATCTTCCAACTTGCGTATGGTTGAATTAAGTTCGGCAACACGCCGCTGATTTCTCCTTAGGTCCTGAAACAAACAGAGAATAGACGTTATATTTCTATAATTTAGTAAAGTATACCTTTCACTTTTATCATGTAAGAAAACTTCCACATTGGAGAAAACTAAAGCTCAGATTCCGATACATGTAGGAAAATAAATACAGAATAAGCAACACAAATACATACAGTACAGTGATTTTCAGAGGCTTTTACAGTCCTTTAATTTTTTCACATCTTGTCCCCATATAACCTTTTCTTTCAACAAGTTTTATTAATATATTTCAAGGTAATGAAATGGTGAAGAAATGGAAAAGACATACTTCATGAAAATAAAATTCTAAAAGGTTTAAAAGCCATAAATACACTATATTGCCAAAAGTATTTGCTCACCCATCCAAATTATTGGAATCAGGTGTTCCAATCACTTCCATGGCCACAGGTGTATAAATTCAAGCACCTAGGCATGCAGACTGTTTTTACAAACATTTGTGAAAGAATGGGTCGCTCTCAGGAGCTCAGTGAATTCCAGCGTGGAACTGTGATAGGATGCCACCTGTGCAACAAATCCAGTCGTGAAATTTCCTCGCTCCTAAATATTCCACAGTCAACTGTCAGCTGTATTATAAGAAAATGGAAGTGTTTGGGAACGACAGCAACTCAGCCACGAAGTGGTAGGCCACGTAAACTGACGGAGCGGGGTCAGCGGATGCTGACGCGCATAGTGCGAAGAGGTCGCAAACTTTCTGCAGAGTCAATCACTACAGACCTCCAAACTTCATGTGGCCTTCAGATTAGCTCAAGAACAGTGCGCAGAGAGCTTCATGGAATGGGTTTCCATGGTCGAGCAGCTGCATCCAAGCCATACATCACCAAGTGCAATGCAAAGCGTCGGATGCGGTGGTGTAAAGCACGCCGCCACTGGACTCTAGAGCAGTGGAGACGCGTTCTCTGGAGTGACGAATCGCGCTTCTCCATCTGGCAATCTGATGGACGGGTCTGAGTTTGGCGGTTGCCAGGAGAACGGTACTTGTCTGACTGCATTGTGCCAAGTGTAAAGTTTGGTGGAGGGGGGATTATGGTGTGGGGTTGTTTTTCAGGAGCTGGGCTTGGCCCCTTAGTTCCAGTGAAAGGAACTCTGAATGCTTCAGCATACCAAGACATTTTGGACAATTCCATGCTCCCAACTTTGTGGGAACAGTTTGGAGCTGGCCCCTTCCTCTTCCAACATGACTGTGCACCAGTGCACAAAGCAAGGTCCATAAAGACATGGATGACAGAGTCTGGTGTGGATGAACTTGACTGGCCTGCACAGAGTCCTGACCTCAACCCGATAGAACACCTTTGGGATGAATTAGAGCGGAGACTGAGAGCCAGGCCTTCTCGTCCAACATCAGTGTGCGACCTCACAAATGCGCTTCTGGAAGAATGGTCAAAAATTCCCATAAACACACTCCTAAACCTTGTGGACAGCCTTCCCAGAAGAGTTGAAGCTGTTCTAGCTGCAAAGGGTGGACCGACGTCATATTGAACCCTATGGATTAGGAACGGGATGTCACTTAAGCTCATATGTGAGTCAAGGCAGGTGAGCAAATACTTTTGGCAATATAGTGTATCTAACCCTTTTTGCAAGCATGATTTGAACAGTTTCTGATAATTGTTTTGTACATCCTTCCTACTATTTGCATAGATATTTAACTGAAGTTTGACTAATTTTTGACCATCTAGAAGTTTTTTTTAAACAAGATATTTGAGCAGTGTTTCCACAATCATGCTTACTGTATAATTTCATCTGCTGTTTATCTGTTGCTTTCCTTTTTTTTATACTTGTAGTTTCAAACTTTTACCTAAATTTAACTTCTACAGTAATAAACACAACGTTTATTTTTTGAGACATGTTTATCTTGAATATCTTTTACAGTGCAACTTTTTTCATGTTTTCCTTTTTTTATATTACTGTAGTTGTGGGTACCTGTGATATTTATTAAACTTGTGTCAGGTTTGGGGGGAGTTTTTTGAGGACCCAAATGCATTGATAAGAGATTTAATTTAAATGCAGATGGCAACAGAAGCACAAATCAAGGAACCGTAAAAAAAAAAAAAAAAAAAAAAAAAAAGAGAGAGACGTCAGGGAGAAACATGCATGAGGAGCAAAGCAATGGAGAGGATCTAGCAGTGAGGAACTGCACAGGAGGTGTATATATGGAGGGAGGAACAAAGAACTGGCTAATCAGCTGATATGGAGCAGGTATGTATAGATGTGAGTAGAAGGGAGCTAGGGGAAAGAGACAGGCACAAAGGGGAAACAGAGAGTAACTCAAAAAATGCAACATAGCTTAAATCTAACAGACAATGGAACAGAAAAAAAACAGAATGACATAAATATCTGAAAACTCAAAAATAAACAGAAACAGAGGTCCACAAAGGGCAAAATCATGAGAAGTTGTTCTACAGTATCTACAGACTCCAGAAATTAGATAGTTACATTTTTAGTTACATTCCCAGCACTACTGCCCCATACTTCAGAAAGATACAGTAGTGTGCACTGGGAGGGATGCTAAAGTGTCCCCCACATTGATAAGGAAGTGCTATATGTATCCTTCTCTCCCTTCCTCTGCCCTTAAAAAGTCTGTGCACGCTTCTGCTTGAGATACCAAATTAAAGTCAAAATTGTACAGTAGAATAAGATAAAGTTGCAACAATCCTAATCAAGACAGAAAAAAAAAATCCTCAGAAATCTTAATCCTCTAAATTTTTGCCTCCATTGGTGTACATGCCTAACACAGTTCAGAGGTCAAAAATCCTTCTAACCCTGTTAAGTTTTGTTTGATATTAGAATGATTAAACAAAGGATGAACTAGATATAAAAGATAACGGACATCTCAGAGAACAAATAAAATATATAGAAGCAAAAAGCCAATTTCTCCTGCTTATTATTCAAATAAACAATTGCGTATTGAATTATCCATAGCCTTGGCATAATCAATTGAAAGTCTTTTTAAGTTTGACAGAAGTCTAACCTTTTTTTCTAATTTGACCAGCTCTGTGCATGTTTCTACTGTTAATATGATTAATTGTATTTGGTGAGGAGCTTAAAGTGTTTGAAACTGGAAGACCTCTTTTCAACCTTTAAGTTATCTTTAGATACTTAAAAAGACTCTCTTTCAGATTCAAGTGGAGACTTGAGTCTCATAAAAAGAATATTACCTCCAGCCAGGGGTGCTTACTGCAAATCTAAGTATGCCAAAGATATCAATCATTTTAGGCTTAACTTTATTAGATCAACAAAACTAAACAAATATTCACCATGGAATTTCTTTGAATTTTATGCCTTATCGGCCATATCTTGCCATATTTCCATGAATAGCCAAATCTCATGCAATCCCCAATTTCCTTTACAAACTTAATTTAGAATGTTTTTTTTATCCAATGTTTTCTAACTAAAATCAAACTTGATACCCATCATCCTCAACCCCCACGGAGAACATGGGACCAGATCCCTCCTGGATCCCTCGGAGACCTTTGAATGAGGTATGTAAAGATTATAAATGACCCCCATCTGTGTGTTAGCAATCAGATAAATGAGAGAAGCTTCCCAACCTCCCTCAAAAGCTTCGGATCAGGAATATGAGGCTGTACAGTATCGCACTTCCAGGCAAGCTCTGTTGTTAATGTAAATACACACAGTGTGCTTTATTTACTACCAAAGTGAAAAAAAAAGTATAAAGCACATAAATAAACAAAAGGCCAACACGACATGGCAATCGTTTATAAAAACATTGTCACCACAGGGAGATTTTGTCATACACATTTTTTAAAATATCATAAAACGGGACTTTGCCCCCCCATCTGAGAGTTAGGAATCAGATAAATGAGAGAGGCTTCCCAACCTCCCTGAAAAGCTTTGGATCAGGAATATGAGGCTTAAGTAACACCATTACTGCTGATAAGGAGGTGCAGTCCACGTCAGAGATGATAATGGAACAGTAGGTGCTGAAGAACACGTGATAAAACTGGATCAAGTGACAGATGATGGATATACTTGGTTCATTGCTGTGGGTGTAATGATGGGGGCTACAGGCCATGAGTCATTACAGTACAGATTGTTTAGAAACACTTTGGCTACGTTCACACTGCAGCCTGAAGTGACCCAAATCCGATTTTTTTGCCCATATGCGACCTGGATCTGATCTTTTCATGGCTGTCTAAATAACACACATCCGATTTTTTCCAATGCGACCCAGACCACTTGGCTATGTGGTCCTGAATCCGATCCGAATCTGATCTTTTCTAATGCGACCTGTGTGTGAATGATTAGGTTGCATTCATCTGACCTGAGCGCCATTAGTAACCGACACAGGTCACTATTCTGCTTCTTGTTATACAGAAGCGGCAAGAAAAATTACAACCATGGCATATGTGAAATTCAAATACTTACTACCTGCACACCAATTTTTAAACCTGAATTTGATTTTGGGCACAGTTTTTGCATCTATATTTCGCATGTTTGTAAGTCTGGTAAAAATTTCCATTGTCATGGCCACAAAAGAAACATGTATTAACTGACAAATCATCAATCAAATGGGTGAACTTAAATATTGCGGCATGTTTTAGTAAAGTTCTTTGTCAATCACCTACAGCACAAGTCATTATTTACAGTCTTTGATTGTCAGGCCTCGTGAATGGGTACTAGTACTCCCATCGTTGACAACCAGGCTCAGGTACTTTGGACAAGATTGTAGTTTGCCCTGAACCTTCCAGGCTTCAACCTTTTTCCTTTTTCCCTGAAGGTGACGCTATAGTAATAGGGAGAGTGGAAGACGCCACACTTTCTGCGACAGGATTACAAAGTACAAAAGGATTACAAAGTAATGGAGCTGTGGGTGAGACAGTGGTAGCTTGTGGCCCCGTTTAACCTCCTCCAACATCAAACCCTGGTTAATGTAAGACGTCTGAGCCCACCCTCAGTCAGGGCTAGTAAACAGAGGTACAGCTCATCATAAAGCTCTTGTGAAACCAGCTTTGCTTAGTTCAGCTGACTGAACTCATTTCACTTAAGGGGAATCACAGGAGAAACTGGTGTGTTACTAACAGAGGAACAGCAGTGAGCAATGACAAATCAGGAGCTTATATACTGAGCCAGAAGTGGAAGGGACCATGTGATCTAATTAAAGGAGATTTGGAGGAGGTGAGAACAAAAGCAGAAAAGCTGATGAGGGAAAATGAATGAAAAGAAATAGAACTGAACTGAAATATAAGTTTTTTTTAAAAAAAACAAAAGAATGGTGTAACAGGGAAGATCTAAACAAAATGATTTCACTGGTACAAAAAGGGAGAACCTGGAAATTTAGGAATTGAACTTTGGGATGCTTTTAATTTGACTCATGAAAAGTCACCTTTTTTGTTAAATTCTAATAATGAGCTTTTTTGCTTACAGGGCTTCCACAGTGCTCTGCACCATCGCCGGCTCTTCCTGGAATTTCCCTTTTTGGACTTCCCAGGCCACACTCTGACTCTTTTACAAGGAAAAGTTGTTCATCCAAAGCATCCTTCTGCAGCTGGAGCTTCTGTAGGCACCCAGCTGTTGACTCCAGCTCCTTCTCCAAAGAGAAAATGGTGCGGTCCTTGGATTTGATTTCATCCACCTATTGAAAGAGAAAATGGAATAGCAATATAAAAAAACTACCGTGTGAAAAATTGACGGAAGAGGTTCTTGTTCCAAACATCATAGCTCAGCTACAATATAAAAAAAATAATAATAAAATACATATCAATAAAACTTTGCATGATACTGAATATTTTTTTAAATCCTCCAAAATATTATTTGTCTAAAGCTATGCAAGATTCCCAAAAAAGAGAAAAATTATTGTTCCAGGAAACCTTAAGCCCAGAGATGGCTTTTCATCTGAACTGGAGCCACTTAAATAAATTGACCTAAACAGAATCAGTTTGCTTTTGTCTGGCTTCCCATGTTTTTAGCTACTGTGTCTGTGCATACCAGTCTGCGGATGTCCTTCTCACAGTCCCACTTGATCTTAGAGATTTCTTCCTGATGCTGTCTATGTTCGACCCGCAGATCTCCAGCCTTCATTTTGTCCGCCTGGATCATGTTGCTCAGAGCCTCGTCAGTCTGTTTCTTGGAAGCCTTCAGCTCAACTATTTCCTGCAGGAGCTTCACTCTCTCCTGGTCAAAGAAACGCCTTGCCTCCTCTTTAGCTTCCAGGGTCAGTGCTGTGCGTACCTGAAGAGGCATCGGAAACGTATTATAAAAAAAAACAAAAAACAATTGCATCTTGTTTTTTTCTTTACATCTACAGTACAGCAATCATCCACTTTACTTATTTTTTTTTTGTCCAAATAGACATTTTTTTCTGCCAAAAGCCACATATTCTGTTGTTTCCAAGCAGATTCATTTTAAAATGTACATTTAATTTTAGATGCACCCAAAAAAACTTGAACTTACGTACATGCAAAAAAGAGGCACCATTGTATTCGGATAATGTGACTGTATCCTAGTGTGTAAAAACAAACAGGTCTGAACACAATTAATCAGAATAATCATGATGAATGGATTATTGAAATAATTATCAAATAATTTAGTAATCGGTTAATCGTTAACTGGAGTACAGAGACTCTAAAATGTGACTCTAGCTGAAAGCGGGAAAGCGGGAAGTTAAAAAAAATAAAAATATTTTTCTTCTGTCAATATGCTCTATTCAGAACTTATCAAGTGGATTTTTTTTTTGTTTCACCTCATTTCATTTTATAATAAATCTTCTGTAAGAAACCTTTGGCTGTCTGATTATTAATCGGTTAAACAAAAAAAAAATCAATAGATTAATCAATTTGCAAAATAATCATTTGTTGCAGCTTTAAACAAAAAAATATTTTTCTTGGCAAAAAAAACAAAATATAAGATACAATTCTGACTGGAGTACGTAAAATGGATGTCCTGTCGCAAAGAAATACCCTAGTGAGCACTCTGACCTTTCCTATCTTTGCAGGAAGAATGAGTGGATTGAGGAAGTGATGAGAATGTATTTGTCCTCACCCTTTAAAACAAACTTGTCTGGAAACATAATTAGGAAAAAAGTAAAAAATTAAATACAAAAGAAGGAGTAAAGATAAACAACAGAAATACAACAGTACTGTACACGCTATATGTTTGATTCCTCTTGAGTCAGTAGCAGGAATGTTGTTTGTGAGCATAACGTTTCTTGCAGGGGATAATTTTGCAAAATATATCTTTTCTAACTAAATAAACCAATAACTAACTGTTGCATGGTTACATTGCATTTAGGTTGCATTACATTTAGCATCAGGAGTAACTTGTTATTTTTTGTATAATCATTTTGACAGACCCAAGTCAAATGAGTATAAAAAGGACTTATAATGTGGAAAAAAGTGAACGCATGGCAAATGTCAAGCAGGCTTCAGTGGAGACAGAGCTGTTAGGAAAAACGGTCAGACACACACCCATAAACATCAGAGTGACCATGCTGGTCACAAGGCTTCAAATATATACCTTTTTAGACAAGATCCGTGAAAAGTGATATTTAAACGTTGTAGGAGTTTGCAGTCTGGGCACCATATCATATGTTTCTATTGCATGTCAGAAAAAAACCCAACTGATTTCCCTTTTAATATGACTTATCATATAATCAATACCCGTTTTACACCAGATACACAAGCCTAAACACAACTGAAAAGAAAAACTTTGGTGAAGGTGAAACATCCTGATCAAAACTCACCTTTTCTCCACTACCATCTCGCATTGCATTCAGGGCAGTTTTGAGGCGCTGATTTTCTTGGTCCTTGATCTTGGCGTGACGTGCCAGTTCCTGCTCATGCTGCCGGGTAAGGTTTTCCCGCAGAGCCTGTAGCTCTTTCTGCTTTTCTTCATGCCACTTGGCCCGTTGCTCTGTTAACATGGCAGTGTGACGGTGCTGCTCCTGCTCTCGCACTCGCTTCACTTCTTGCACCTTGTCTCGTTCCAGCTTGCTCACCTTTGGGAGATTAAGGGGAGAATGAAAACCTTTATTTTAAAAGACTAACATTTTTCTTTCTGATTCTAATTATACAGTGATTGAAGCCACAATAAAGTAAAGACTTCAGCCTCTTGTTGACTCTACCTTGCATTTTTCCTGGTGCAGCTCTATCTGGATGTCAGTTAGCTTGGACCTGAGATCTTCATTGGCTGCTTGTAAGGCAGAAATGAGGGCTTCAGGCTTCTCGCCTTTCGTGCGGCCTTTCTTAGCCATCAGTATATCATTGAAGAAGCACTCCAGAGGCTTTCATTGAGACTTTAAAGAAACCTTCCAAGTCTTTCCCGTTCCTCCTCCTCCTCATTCTCCTGTTAGACTCAAGGGCTTAGGGAGTGGAAGGTAAACAGAAGGGACATTGTGTAAGATGTATGGAAAGAACTTTATAGAGAATTATGCACTTTCAGTTTGTGTTCACCTAGGAGTTTTCAGCTCAGGCCTTGTAGTACTATTGGTTACTTTCAGCCGCATACATTGCATAAAATCATTCTTAACATAAAATCAATCAAATGTTAGCATGGATCATATTACAGATCAAAAGCGTATATCAGTAGTACACTGGGTGCGAGATGGACGGAGACGGTTAATATTGCAAAGGTGAAAATATGTAGAGTGGGTGACATTCATTTAGATGTGTGACATGAAGGACAGTCTGCTTTCAAAAATGGCACCAAGTACATTCACCTAAAAGGAATGAAAAAATCTAAGAATTTTAGATGAAAGACGAAAAGAATTATCAGATTTGGACTTTACATAATGTTCCTATATATTTTTAAGAGATGATTTGATAAACACTGTCTAATAATAAAATTGATGAAAAATTATAAATATCCTGAAACTTCATGGATCACAAAAGAACTGCAGAATGCTTGCAAAAAAATAAAAACAAAACACTATAGAGATATTTCTTAAAGTACAGAACAGTAGAGAAACTTGTCCATGCATTTGTTACTTCAAGGTTTGACTATTGCAATTTTTTCTATCAGGAAGTACACAAACTGTAGTTAAAAGCCTTCAGCTGATCCAAAATACTGTGGCCAGAGCTTTGATGAAAATTAAAAAGAGAGATCATATCTCTCCTATCTTGGCTTCTCTTCATTGAATTCCTGTAAAATCCAGAATAGAATGCTGCAGGTTTACTAGAGGTTCCCAGAATTTCTAAAATTAGAATAGGAAGCAGGTCTTTTAATTATCAGGCTCCTCTCCTGTCCAAACAACTACCAGTTTTGCTCCTTAATCATTTATTCATTTTTGCACTGCTCTGAACCTTCCACATCAATCCTTTTTGCACCCTCTCTCCTACACTGTTTACATTTTGATCACTGCTGCACTTTATAAATGGAAATGTCCATTTCACTGCTAAGCTGCTCATTCACTGTTTGAAAGCTGTATGCATCAAAATTTCATTTTGTATACACTGTGTATAAAAAAAGACAATAAGTCTAAGTTTTAGTTTGTGAAGAAGACCCCCTGTCTACTTTTAAGGCAATGCTTGAAAATTTGCTTTACGATAAAGTTTACAGTTAAATTGGCTCAGGTTATCCTGAGCTATCTCATAGTTATGCTGGAAGGCCCAGGACATGCTGGAGGGACTATGTCTCTGAGCTGGCCTGGTGTGGCCTCGGGGTCCCCCCAGAGCAGCTGGAGGAAGTGTGCGTGTATCGGGAAGTCTGGGCATCTTTGCTTAGACTGCTGCCTCCGCGACCCGGCCCCAGATAAGCGAAAGAAAATGGATGGATAGATGTTTCTGAGTTTCTGTCACACATTTTTGCAGCTCATTTAGTCTTTTGCTGTGTTTTTGCACCTGACGGCCACTGTTGACACTGCCTGCTATGCATATGTCATTTACTCAAAAGTTAACCTACAATGGGGCAAAAAAAAAGGATGGTCAGCCACTGATTGTGCAAGTTCTCCAACTTAGAAATATGAAAGAGGTCTGTAGTTTGAAGTCATACGCATCTTTCAATATGAGAGACAAAATGAGGGAAGAGATCCAACATATGACATTCTAAGATTTTTTTAAATATATTTATAAAACTCAACTAAGTAATTGGTCATCCACGAACAAGCAACTTTTGACCCTCACAGACCTGTAACTTGTTCTTCTAGAAGCTTTTTTATCCTCCACTAGTTACCATGACTAATGGCACCTAATTAAACTTGTAATCTGCATAAAATACGTATCTTCACAGTCTCAAAAGGTCACATTCCAAACTCAACTTTTTATGATTCCTGTTCCTCCCTGTAAAGCTGCTGCCAAGATGTCACTTCCCTCTCCATTTGTTGCATTAGCAATCAGGTTTGAGCAGTTACAACTGCGGCAGCTTCAATTACCCAAAGTAACTGCAGCTGAACGAGAACTTTATATTTCTGGCTCTCAGTAGGTAAATAACAGATTTTTGAAAACTGCTTTTGTGAGTCGGAAATTCAGCAATGTTTGTTCCAAGAATTGTACTCTCTACCTTTATTTTTTTTTTATTTCAATTTTATCCGGCACTGTACAAGAAACTGGAAAGAAGAAGGGGTAGCTCCTCCTAACTTGCATCTGACCATTATTGAATGCACATTGGAGATGGAGCATCTTTGATGCTCTAGACACTCATCAGACCTTCAATGTGGACACTATCAAAGATGAAACAGCAGACGCTTCTTTGCTGCTCAAAGCAAGTTTCTTTGCCACTGTCCCTGTTTGGATTGTTCTGTCTACTGTGTATGACACAAGCCTGAACCTTCAATCTGGCTTCTGCCTCTCCCCCTCTGGACCCCACATCAACGTATTTCCTCTGTGAGTGGCTAGATGCTATGTCTGAATATTCCAAATGGCATAAAATGACACATTTCTAGTCTCTTCTGCCATTTTCTGACTATTTATTTCCATGTAGAAGGTAAAAAAACCCATACATTTTTGGTAAAGAGTCTAGATGACAAAAGGCTTCATTCTGGTGCATCAGTACCACCCCTCCCCTAATTGTTTCTTTAGCACTGTGAGTGCAGCATGACAGGCTCATGACTAAAGAGTAGCAAGCCAGAATAATGTTTCCTGGGATTTGGAAAAACACAAAAGAAATCGGTTTCAAAGCTAAACATGACAGCTGAAGTGTATAAGCACTTTGGATTCAAACGGAACAACAGCAGTATAATTTATCGCACTAACGTCTGCAACAGTTTATTGTCCAGTAAAATGTGTTATCTTGACAGGCCTACTGAACAGGAGGTCCGCATTATTTACAAGTACTATATAGCAGTATAACTATACATGGACAACAACAATAAACTATTAGGACAACATTACAGACAATTTAAGCTCAGTTGTGGTATGTGGGTGTAGTGTGAAAAACAAACCTTCTTTATGTAGAATATTGCAACTAATTGTAGACAAACTTGCACTGCTGGACAAGAAAAGGAATAGGGAAACCATCATTTTCCATAAGTTTTTTGGCTTTTGCCATTTTTGTTATTTAAAGTTTAGGTACATCATGTTTGCAAAAACCTAGGCAACGGTAATGCCAAGCAGCCACGGAGAAACTTTGTCAATACACCTGGGGGTATTTTTTAAAGTCAACCAACAATTTATTGAATGACATCATTACTAAAAAAGAAACTGGATGAAAACAGATTCTGTCAGCTCATTTAGTTCTACTATATTTTTTTATTTTTATTTTTTAACCTTTATTTAAGCAGGAAGTCCCTTTGAGATTCAGAATCTCTTTTTCAACAGAGACCTGACCAAGGTAGCAGCCAAACCACAGGAAGTTCATACATATTTACAACATATTACTTTTTTCATTATAAAATCAGAGCAGTATGTTAAAACACATTGAGCATCTCAAGAAAAACAAGCACATATCTCCATCACTACATTCTTCATGGTTGCTTTATGAATCTAGTGCGGAACAAACAAAAATAATTGTATTCAAATTGTAAAACTTTCATGAAATTTTTAGTAGTTTTCAAGTCAAGGATGAAAGAGCACATACAGTTAGCTATTGGCTTAGCTATTACTGTGTCTATAGTATATCTACAAGAAAGAATGAGTTGATCACTGAAAGACAAGGACAAGACCACCAACCCTGACCAGATGATAACATAATAATGCAAAGCCAAACATAGTTCACCGTTAACACTAATGCTGCATTAACCTACATTTGGCCCACTAATGCCAGATTTTGCTCTGATGGCCTGGTTGGATAGAAATATGGCAGAAGCATAAGTCAATCTGATTAGCATTACAGTCACTTTTAGGATTGGAGCTGGAAACCACCTGCTGATTAGTGAAATAACGATATTTGTTCCACACAGGAGCACACTTTGAAGAAACTGTTTTATCTAGCCTCTGCTTCACCAAGTTTCAGCAAAACCCTTTCCTCAGATTTAGTGTCGATTCATTTTAAAATAATTTGTGTTTTCCTTTCTCCTTTCAAATAAAATGTGGAGAAAAAAAGATATAATGTTTAACTATTTAATTTTCAAAGAGTGGTAGTGCATATTTAGCCGAATACATACATATTTAGATGTACATATTTGCAGGTTTCATTAACGCTAAGCTAAAACATGGTAAATAATTAGCCTTGGAAAATATTCTATTAGCATAAAAAACACCTTACTTAATAATAACATAGGATATGCTTTTTCGATTAAATAACAGATGGTAGTTAAATGACTGTGCAAATAAATGCAAGGAAGTAATCCAAACAAAACACAATACGACAATAATTTAAGGTGGTCTGAAGTTTTCTTTTAATGTGCAAATATTCCAGAAGAGTGGAGATATCCCTACTGCTTGTGACACTAATCAACAATCACATGACAGATATTCACTGGTTTTTGGCAAAAAGGCATGTGGTGAAGGGGACTTGCTGGATTTTAAACTGAGCTTCAAAATAGGAAAACATTTATTCTTGTAGCCACATTCAGACAGTAGAGTTGGATTTTGGCACATAAATAATAAAGCAACTATGTATCCTGCTATTTTTAAACAGTTTAGCTGGTGGGGTGGCATGGGAGAAATTGTCTTGCTATTATGCAATATTCTCAAACTTAAGGGTTCCGGAGGCAAAATGGAGATTCTGTATTTATGAGGGTATCTAAAAAAAATTACCAATAAACATTAGGATAAAGTTACCTATGTTAAACAGGTACCCTGGAGAAAAGGTTTCAGATATATTTCCTTGGATATGGAGCAAAATGTACAATTTTTGGAGTTCTAAATCCTCAACGTGCTCTCTCCATCACTCTTTCGGATTTTGTTATTTTCCAGTATGTTGATCAGTGTGATATCACCTTTACCATGGATTGACACTCAACTCATCATAGATTTGATTAGTCAA